TCAGGGGATTCTTTAACAAACTGCTGCTGACGACACCTTTCACCCATGTGCCAGAGAGCCAGTTGGAGAACACCACTCCATCTCCTCCTACCAACTCACCAGCTGGTTTAATGGTGCCGCCTGCAGGGTCCCACCTCCATTCATGGTTCCTCACACCTCTGCTTCCAGAGAAGGCAGATCTTTCTGTCCTCAAGGCAGATCAGAGGAACTGCGTCTGCACCCTGGATGTCGACGGCGACACCATCACCAGAGTCATTTCCACTGTGTATTGCACAGAGGAAAGGGAAATGACAAATCGATGGAGAGTTACAGACTACACCTCTGATGGCAGAGTAATCATGTCGGTGCTCTGCCAGTTTCTGAAGAGGTTTACACAGGGTGCAAAGAGGAAGCCTGCAGAGGAGGAGAGCAGCAGCAGGAGCCCCACTCCACCAAGGAAACGTCTCCGGCTGTGATCAGCAATGAAGCCTTTCCTGGACATATGGAACATGGATGTTACATATGGATGTTTCCTCGTGCTTTGGAGCAAACTTTCTAACTCCTCATGTCTGCGATGTGTCTGGAAAGGCTGGAAACATCTCTCCATCTTACACAGAGACCATCATGATGCGGCTAGTCTGAGGAGTTATTTCTGTACATATGTATATAGGTTTTTTTTTTATTGAGATACACAGGTCAGCGTTTTCAGTGCGTCTTGCACTTTTCGTTATTTCTTGGTGCTGGCCTGTGTGTTTGATATGACTGCAAGGACTACAAGACTGACTTTATTATGTAATCTGCGTAAAATGAACCAATAATCCATGAAGACAGTGCAAAGTGTAAATTATCATCTTCTGCATCTCAGACATTGGCGAGAATGAACAATGTGGTAAGTAAAAAGTAATGTTCTGTCTCTAAAATGATGTCCCAAAATACTAGAAAACATCTAGTCCAGCCTAGAAGTAATAAATGCATGAAGTAGTTTTTCAGCGTCACTCTGAGACAGGATATTTCTTATTTCAGAGATATTACACAAAGATTGGAATTGGAAGAAATCAGTTCTAGATATTTGTTTAATATGTGCGTTGAAGGACATGTCCTGGTCAATAATGACTCCAAGGTTCCTCACAGCGTTACTGGAGGCCAAGGTAATGCCATCCAGAGTAAGAGTCTGGTTAGATACCATATTTCTAAGATTTTCAGGGCGAGTACAATAACCTCAGTTTGATCTGAATTTAGAAGCAGAAAATTAGAGGCCATCCAGGTCTTTATGTCTTTAAGACATTCCTGCAGTTTAACTAATTGGTGTGTGTTATCTGGCTTCATAGATAAATAAAGTTGGGTGTCCTCTGCATAGCAGTGAAAATGTATACTATGCCTTCTGATGATACTGTATTTAAATTGTAAACAGAATTGGTCCTAGCACATCCATAATTAACCTTAGATAAATATGATACAAACCACTGCAGAAATCAATAGGATGCTCTAATTGCTTTAATAAAATATTATGGTCAAAAGTATTGAACGTTGCACTGAGGCCATGAGAAGATGATGTGTAACCTTCACTAAAGCTGTTTCTGTGCTGTGATGAGCTCTGAAATCTGACTGAAACTGTTCAAATAAGCCATTCCTCTGAAAATTATCTGTTAGCTTTTTAAAAATTATTTTTTCAAGAATCTTTGAGATAAAAGGAAGTTTGGCGATTCGCCTCTAACTAGGTAGGACAGCAGGGTCAAGAGGTGGCTTTTTAAATCAGTGTTTGGTTTTTTTATGTGTCTATGTACAGAACAGAAGTCTGAACAGACCAACGACCTGCCAGAGAAATCCTCCTCCAAGCGCTCTGCTTCTCCATCTGTGGAGCTGCTGCTCAACGCTGGCCGGCTGCAGCTTGACGGTCTTCCTCCAGGGGCCGGAGCTGCAGGCCCTGGTCTATGAGTGGCCCAGGTACGACTATTGGACCGCAGAACCAGCAGCAGGCCAATCAGCCGACCTGGGACTCCAAATTCCAACACTTCATCCACCCCAACCCCCTCAGAGGAGCCGAACGATGGAGAGGAGGAGGCAGCAGAGCCTGAGGATGAAGTTCAGAGTTCTACAGTTTCTGCTCCGACCTTGCGACTCCTCAAGAGACTCTTTCAGCTCCTAATAGCGGCTGCTATGGAGAGAAACCCCACTCAGTTTCAGCTGGATTCAGGACGTCATCGCTCTCCAGTGCAGTATCATGCGACACCATCAAACAGAAGGCCTCATCAACAGAGTGGCACTTTGAGAAGCAAATACACAATCAAGTGGAACATCAGGGGACATGAAAAAGGCTGAGCTACAGAACAGACTGAAGGCTGGGAGAACGGCATCAGCTTCTGCCTCTGGACTGGTGAACCACATAGGAACAGAAACGGTTAAGAAGGAACCTGAGAGCACTGTAAATGCATGTGCCCAACAGAACTGCCCCACTGCCCCCACGATATGGCCCCACAGTGGCCAACAGAACCACAGGAGCCAGACAGAGCCCCAGGAGGAGTGTGTGAGCACCGATGAAAAGCCCTCCTCAATCACCAGCAGTTCCTTCACAGATGCACCATCTAGAGGCAGCCAGGAGCACGACACAGTAGTTTGCATCAGCACCTACTCCAGGTACACATCAGAAATGTCAAAGCTGCAGTCTTAATGTATCACTTTATACAGCTAATAGTAATAATAATGATAATAATAGTAATAATGATAATAATAATAATTTACTCTAATAATACTTTAAAGTGTAAGAGATAATGTACAGTAGCTATAGTGATTACAAGGGCCCCACCCTGGAGCCAGGCCTGGGGAAGAGCTCAAGGAAGTCTAACCAGAGACTGTGTTTTAGCCCATGCAGTCTGGCTGTGTACAGGCTAAAGAGATGACATAGGCCCACCCCCCATGTGCTCACCACTTGGAGGAGGTGTTGTGGGGGTTTTATGCAGTGTGTGTCGGTTGGCAGCCTTTATGTACATGGGATGATCATTTTGTTTTGGTATTGAGAATTGCATAATTCTATTGTATTAGTACTGACTAGTAAATTTCTGGGATGGTGACAGATGACCGAAGTGTGAATCCATTGTCACTGCTATGGTACCAATAGTATTACAGTGCAATATTAGTGACACAGCACGAGTTAAATCCAAGCACTAAAACAGCCTTTAGTGTTTTCTCTGGAAATTTAAGTACAAGTAAAAACATAACACTGTAGTTTAACAGTAATTAAAGTAAACTAAACTTGTAATTCTAAAGTCATCATACAGGCTTGTTCTTTCTGCCTGTAGTACTAGCCAGGGCTGCAACTATTCATCGAGTAATTTGATTACAAGAAATACTCCTGCTGTTTCATTTAATGCATGACTCTTTAGAGCTTGTCACGTAGAGCTTGTTAACTTAACACTGATGTCAGATCAGTTTCTTTCACCAGCAGATGCAAATTATCAGAGTGGATGGTGTTTGGTCAGTGAATTATTTATTTAGTTTACTAAGAGTAAGACAAAAAACAGCATTTTTATTTGGTACAGACTGCTCAGGTGGGAAGCTGACTTGGTATCTGACATCTCTTTACGTTTACTTGCCACAGACTGGACAGAGCAGTGTCAGGTGACAACATACATGTCTGTCTCAAAGGGGACAGTAAATCATGGGCGGACTATTGACAGATTTTACAAACCAAAATAACTGACATGGGCAAGACCGTATCGATCGGAGGTTCTGAGTTTTGATTCATTTTCGATGTGATAGGAGAGAGGTCCAGATAAACGACTGGCATTAACTGGGAAAAAAGTGGACATTGATGTGGTCAGAAATTACTTCTGATATCAGTGCTTCTGTCAGTTTGCTGTAACTCTTCATGCAGTAGACACACCAGTAAGATGTGCTGTTGATTTTTATTGGGATCCTTGACTCCCAAAAACCCAAACACATGATAGTTAAAGGAGATGAAATAATGTTGCAACAAGTTCTCGTGACTCTTTGAAGTGTGTTAAATGAAGTCTTTTTGTAGAATTTTTGCAAGTGTATCAACCGGTTGGAGTGACTTTTTAGACACTGAAACACTTACACAGCTGGGCCGTCATATTCAATGTCAGTTTGTCTCTTTTTTCCTCTCCTGTCCCTCAGACATAAAGGCTGCTCCTGCACTGACGGACTCACTGCTGCCCAACACACTGCCCTCCATCACCAACCTGTCCAGCTGCATGAAGGATGGAAAAGAGGAGGATGGGGGTGAGTTTGTCACTCTGCGGCCACATGTGACAGTTTAAGAGCCTTCGTATTGCTGTGTTCTGCTATGAAGCACACGAAGATGTAATTAGCTTCTAGCGGTTGTGTGTGTGTGTGTGTGTGTGCAGGGATCGAGCTGGACAAACTGGATGCAGAGATGATGTTACATGTTGTAAGCTGTCATCTCTGCTGGTCATGCACTTCTGCATTTTTATAATCTGGTGTGTTGTTGCATTGCTGCTGCAGCTGGGTTAAAGTCTGTTTTTAATGGCATCCTAACATCATATCAGTACAGAAGTTTAGAGGTTCACAGGTTTCACAGAGGGAGATGTTGAAACTTTGAAACTTGGCAAAAACTTTAAAATTCCTCGGCTTCCAACTTTGACTTCTTCTCCTTCTATACCAGCGCTGATTTGGAGGACGGGCAACACCTATTGTTCAGAAGAATACTGCAGCACGTACATGCACCGTAGCAGCTAGCATGAATGGATATAGCTGTGTGATGGTCTTACTGGTGACACACAAAGCTGCCAACACAGCAGGTGTACCAGGGCCCTTAGTTTGATCTGTTAGCTTTTTAAAAATTATTTTTTTTAAGAATTTTTGAGATGAAAGGAAGATTAGAGATTCATCTATAATTTGCTAAGACAGCAGGGTCAAGAGATGGCTTTTTAAATCCGTGTTTGGGTTTTGTTTGCGAATATGTACAGAAAAGAGAACAGAAGTCTGAACAGACCAGCGGCCTGCCAGAGAAATCCTCCTCCAAGCGCTCTGCTTCTCCAGCCATGAAACTGGAGCTCAACGCTGGCCCACTGCGGCTTGAGGGTCTTCCTCCAGGGGCCGGAGCTGCAGGCCCTTGTCTACGAGTGGCCCAGGTACAACTGTTGGACCGCAGAACCAGCAGCAGGCTAAGCAGCTAACCTGGACAAATTCCAACACTTCATCCACCCCAACCCCCTCAGAGGAGCAGAACGATGGAGAGGAGGCAGCAGAGCCTGAGGATGAAGTTCAGGGTGCAGAGCTCGAGAGTTCTACAGTTTCTGCTCCGACCCCGCGACTCCTCAAGAGGCCCTTTCAGCTCCTAATAGCGGCTGCTATGGAGAGAAACCCCACTCAGTTTCAGCTGCCGAGTGAGCTCACGTGCACCACTGCACTACCAGGTCAGTCAGTCATAATGACTACCAAAATATGATTTCTTTCAGCACCCTAAGTTTAAAATACCTCTTTATATATGCAGTTTAGACTGTTTCTTCAATGTTGCTCTTTTGTTTGGATTTCTAGGCAGCAGTAAACGGAGGAAAAAAGAAGAGCTGCTTGGAAAGCCCTTCAGGAGGCCTCAGCATGAACTGGATCCCAATGGTCTAGTCCCTTTGCCAGTCAAAATCTGCTTTTCATGCAACAGGTCAGGAGTTCTGGAGCACAGTGCAAAGAGGTAGACGAAGCCCTGAAGTGATGACAGCAGGTACTAATTCTATTTATTTGGTCTCTCAGGAGTTGCAGGTTGGCTCCATTGATCCAGTGCGATTACTGTCCCCTCCTGTTCCACATGGACTGTCTGGATCCTCCACTCACAGCTTTACCTGCCGGCAAATGGATGTGTCCAAACCATGTGGAGCACTTAGTAGTAAGATGCACTGTGCTGATTCTAAGCTAAAGCTGCTTTCCCTTTCCTTTTATTGATGTAAATTTTTATTGATATATTTTTGTTTGCTATGCAGCTGAATCAGAGGAGCCTCAGCCTGTCCAGCCGCTGTCAGCTCTTCGATCAGTTCCAGGACAGGATGTTAAGTTGGACTTCCTGCGTAGAGTACATCGACAAAATGCTCCCAACCACCACTCACCAGCGCAACAAGAAAACCATCAAGGTAGACGTACGTCTCAGTGTGACGGTGCAGTGTGTTGGATTTCATATAATCGTTTTTTCTTGGCCACTGGAACACAGGTGGAGATCTAGGAAATGAATGGCTTTAATAATATACCATATTTCCCGGACTACAAAGCGCACCTGAATATTAGCCGCACAAGCTAAAATCAGGGGAAAATCCTGTTTTGTACATACATTAGCCGCACCTGACTAAAAGCCGCAGGTGTTTCAATGTTGACTTATCATATGTAAGAGAATATGCACAAAGGGAATTGTCAGGAAAGAGATGGCTGTTTGGAGACACACCCCTTTTATTAATATTTTGAAAAACAAGTTATGGGTACATATTTGCACATGTAGTACATAACAGTAACCTACAGCACACCAGAAAAATAGATTCAGCCTACCTTTTAGGCTCAGGTGCAGCGACACGGCTTTAACAAGAAGAAAAGTCAGTCATTCACCATCTTTCTCTTCTTCCTGCGCTCTAAAACCACCAAAGTCCTCTTCTCCAGTGTCGGATACAAACAGGCTCAGGATGGCTTCGTCATCCACTCTCCGCTTCTCTCCTTCGTTGTCGCTTTCAAAACCAAAGAAATCCTCGTTGTCAGTGTCAGAGTCGAACACCCTCAGAAGGGCCGTGGCAGTGTCCTCTCCATCATGCAGCAGTCCAGCCCTTCAAATTGGTGATCGTGGATGTTTTCACACTTTTCCACGCTGTCAGAATCCACCGGTGGAGTTGAGCATAACTTGCTTTTCGCAAGTTTATCGCCGCTCGTCATCCACGCCTCCCGCTGAATGCGTAGCGCTACTTTGAAGTTTGTTTTTCGCGCTACTTCGTACGGGACTACGTTGCCTGGCGGACGGACATGTGACCAACATACCACTCTTGAACCCCGATCCTTCCGCCAGGCAACGTGCAAGGTGTTACTAAAGGACAAGATCAGAGAGGCTAAGGACAATTACAGGAGGAAGCTGGAGTGGAAACTCCAGCAGAACAGCATGAGAGAGGTGTGGAGGGGCATGAAGACCATCACTGGATTCAGGCCAACCAACAGCAGGGGAGCTGAGGGAGGTGAGAATAGAGCCGACGAGTTGAATCTGTTTTTCAATAGATTCGACACCACAGTGTCTGCTCCCACCCCCACAACCTCACCTGCAGTCAGCCTGGAATCCAGAGCCACACCACTGTGCCAGCCTCTCTCCTCACATGTTGCCTCCTGTGAGATTCCTGACACCCCTCCCCCACCCATCACCTTCACTCAATACCAGGTTGAGATGCAAATGAGGAGACTTCACTCAGGCAAGTCTGCTGGACCAGACGGAGTGAGTCCCCTTGTCCTCAAGACCTGTGCCCCCCAGCTGTGTGGAGTCTTTCATAAACTGTTTATGCTGAGTCTGAGTCTGCAGAGGGTCCCGGTGATGTGGAAGACATCATGCCTCGTCCCTGTACCAAAGACGCCTCGTCCCAGTGGCCCTCAGGATTACAGGCCCGTGGCATTGACCTCCCACATCATGAAGACCCTGGAAAGGCTCATCCTGGACCAGCTGCGACCCATAGTAAGACCACATCTGGATCCCCTTCAGTTCGCTTATCAGCCTCGTCTCGGAACAGAGGACACCATCATCTACCTGCTCAATCGTGTCTACACCCATCTGGACCAGCCGGCGAGCACTGTGAGGGTCATGTTTTTTGACTTTTCCAGTGCTTTCAACACCATCAGGCCGACCCTCCTGGGTGATAAGTTAGCAGCGATGCAGGTGGATGCTTCTCTGGTGTCCTGGATTGTTGATTACCTGACAGGAAGACCACAATATGTACGTCTCCCACAGTGTGTGTCTGACAAGGTGATCAGCAACACAGGGGCACCACAGGGGACTGTCCTCTCCCCCTTCCTCTTCACCCTCTACACCACAGACTTCAGCCACTGCACAGAGACCTCCATCTTCAGAAGTTTTCTGATGACTCTGCGGTGGTTGGATGCACCAGCAGGGATGATGAGACAGAGTACCGGGCTGTGGTCGACTCCTTTGTCACGTGGTGTGAGCAGAATCATCTGCAGCTCAACGTGGCAAAGACCAAGGAACTGATCGTGGACTTCAGGAAGACCAGGAAACACTTGACCCCTGTTTCAATCCAGGGGCTCAGTGTTGACATTGTGGAGGACTATAAATACCTTGGAGTACACATTGACAATAAACTGGACTGGGCTAAAAACACCACAGCACTTTACAGGAAGGGCCAGAGTCGTCTCTATTTTTTGAGGCGACTGAGGTCCTTCAACATCTGCCAGAAAATGCTGAGGATTTTCTATGAATCTGTTGTGGCCAGTGCGATCCTCTATGCTGTTGCATGCTGGGGGAGCAGGCTGAGGGTCGCAGATGCCAACAGACTTAATAAACTGATCCGTAAGGCCAGCAATGTTGTGGGGATGGAGCTGGACTCCCTCAAGGTGGTGTCGGAGAGGCGGATGCTGTCCAAGATAAAGACAATGTTGGATAACACCTCCCACCCACTCCATGACATGTTGGTCAGTCACAGGAGCTCGTTCAGTGAGAGACTGAGATTACCAAAAAGCACCACTGAACGACACAGGAAATCATTCCTGCCTGTGGCCATCTCCCTGTACAACGCATCCACTTAACACACTGTTTGCTGCTACAACTACACATGTTTCTTTTCAGCTATTTATTTATGAGTGACTTATGTATGTATGTATGTATATATATATATGTATATATTGTACTATTCTTAGTTAGCGTATTGTCTGTCTTGTCTTAATGTTGGTTTAAAATGGAGCACTGTAACAAAAAATAATTTCCCCCAGGGATCAATAAAGTATTCTGATTCTGATTCTGATACATGCGCACATGGCGGCGACGCAGAATGAGAAGGGCGAAAGCGGATTGTTAAATGAAACGGATGAACCAGAACTGGTTTGTAAAAATGCTGCAACTTCAGTGGTGGAACTGGTTTAGCTTTCGTCCCTCAGATACACAACAAAGCACTATTTTTGGTAGCGCGTGCTAGCGGGCCGTCGTTATTACCGTGTTTTTTGGAAAATACGGCGCACTTAAAATCAATCCTTTGATTTTTCTCAAAATAGACAGTGCCCCTTATAATCCCGTGTGCCTTATGTATGAATTCTGGTTGTGTTTACTGACCTCGAAACGATTTTATGTACACGGCGCTCGAAAATCTGTCAAATGTTTCAGTACAACTTTGCTAAGCTACGAAGCTGCACTGCTTGATGGATTGTCGGAGCGTTACGGCTGTCGTAGGCAGGAGCCTCGCGGAGTGATATGTACTGTGCTTCAACATAATATTACCGTACACTGTGTGTATAACCTCTTAAGTTTTGTGGATATTATACATGGTTATGCTGAGGATATGTCGGCCAATTTCCACTGGAAATGTCTTTTTGGTTAAACTGTCAGCAAGGAATTTGCATTTGCACTGTTACATTTTTATATAACTTTAATGCACATAAAAAACAGCTGCTTGATTAAGTGAAAATACATTGATGGGGTTTTCTTTGCACTAATAAAGTTGAGGAGTTGTAAAGTGTTTTGTCTAGTGTCAATTATATAGTTATCGCAAATTTTCAAATGTATATTGTGATAAGTTTTAAGAACAGGCTCAAGACCCACCTTTTTAATTTAGCTTTTACTTAGCGTTTATTTATTTTTTATGCTTATTTATTCTATCCTGTTATTCTATTATTAATTTAGGATTTACCTAATATTTTTTTATTTTATTCTTATTCATTTTTTAATCTTCTTACTCTATTTATATTTATATTTATATTGTATCCTGTTGCTATTTATTTTATCATTTTACCCTGTATATATCGTATTGCGTCATATCTCCAGTGTTTCCTCGGAGGGCGCTCTCTGCACCGGGGCTGTTATTGACCGTGGCTGCTGGGTCTCTGGGGTCCTCTCAGCCTGGTTGGGGGGCTCCTTGGCCTCCCTCCTGCTGTGTGCCCAGCCCGGAGGCTGCGGTCTGTGACCGGCTCCCGGTGCAGACGGCTCTCTGTTATAATGTTTCCTCACTTGGCTCATGCGAGCCCAGCCCAATTTTTACTCTTTAAGTGTGCGCGTGTGTGTATGTGTGTGTGGGTGGGGGTGGGGGTATATATGTGTATTGAGAGTGTGGGGAGTGAGTTGGAGGGTGGGGTGGGCTGCTTTTAACTATGTAAAGCACTTTGTGCTACATTTTTTCTGTATGAAAAGTGCTTTATAAATAAAGATTGATTGATTGATTGATTGATTGAAATATTTTTGGTCATATCGCCCTGCTCTACCTAGATACTGACATACTGTCTTTTTTTCAGCTTCTGAAATTTAAGCAGTTGTGCACTTGTATATGAAGTGATGCTATGTTTAGACACATCTGAACGTACTGGTTAATTTGCTAGAAAGTGTTAAATTGTCTCTGACACCAAGTGTGGTTCAATTTCTTACTCTTAAACCCCCCAAATTACTTTCCAAAATATACAGAATGCTTTCTAAAACAGATGAATCAATATCACTTCCTATTGCAAAATGGGAAGCGGATTTATCAGTTAACTTAGACCTAAACTTCTGGTCTCAGATTTGCTTAAAAACCTTTCATCTAATTAGAAATCCCAGTCTTCAATTAATTCAATACAAAATACTACATAGAGTGCACTATACAGGTCATCGGATGTTCAAGATGGGCTTTACGTCTACCAACAACTGCTCACACTGCCAAACCAATTCACCGGACAATTATATCCACGCTCTTTGGTTCTGTCCACCAGTTCAGAAGTTTTGGCGCGAGATATGTGAAGACTTATCGAAGTGTCTGAAATGTAACATTCCAACTTCCCCCTTAGTGTGTTTGTTGGGCAGCTTAGATAATGTCACTTCAGAAAAGAATATCGCCCATATGGTTTTCACTGCCCTATGCATAGCCAAGAAAACAGTCCTCATGAACTGGAAAAATAAAAATAATCTTAATTCTAACCAATATAGAAATTATCTATTAGATTACATTAGTCTTGATACAGCCTCTGCCACCACATCAGATCAATTGCTCTGGGCTCCTTTGATCAGCTCCATCACCTAGTGGGGGTGGGGGGTCATAGTTTGGTCCCGCCTTCACTGTTGTGATTGGTGTGGGGGTAGGGACAGGCTTAGGGCGTCGGGGGTTCCCCGGAGGCATCTTCCTTGGGGGGCTCAACCCGGGGTAGCGGTCATGTCCGGTTAGGGGCTCTGTTGGCTCTCAGGTGACTGTTTCCTCGCGGCTGCGTGCAGCGGGGCTAGGGGAGGGTCTGTGCTGACGGACGTGGGTTACTGACCTGGTAGCCTGGCTGCCCCTGGGTGGGTCCGGGATGGGCGTGAGGTTCTGGGGGCGCTCCGTCTCTGGGCTGGGACCCGGACCGGGCCTCGGGGGCTTGGGTCCTGGTTGGTGTGTTGCCGGGGTTGTGGGCGGGTGGGTGCATGGGGGCCCAGCCCTGGAGCAGGGTGCCGCCGGTGCGTCGAGCCACCTGGGGGGCTCTTCAACTGGTGGGGGAGATTGTCACATCTTGCAGGAGCTTTCCTCTCCTCAGGAGCTCCCTCTGCAGGAGGGGGAGATACAGGAGAGGTGGAGGAAGATCTCAGCCTGGGTGTTTATTGTCTTATGTAGTCTGGAAGATGAGTGGATGGTGGGGTGGGTGCAGTTTTCTCTGTGGTGGGGTTGGGTGGACTGTCCCGGGCTCTGTGGGGCCGGGCGGCGCTGCTGCACTGGGCCCGGTCTGGATGGGCCTGGGCCCCCTTTCCCTGGCGGGTCGCGGAGTATGGGGGTGCCTACTGGGGTCAGCGGGGGAGCTCGCCCCAGGGAGGGGTCACTTGCCCCTCCCTTCCTTCCCTCCCCATCTCCAGCTGCCTCCCTCTTCCCGCTCCACCACAACCACCCACACATGCAGGGCCTTGGAGTAGGGGTATGTCACCAGGGTGCAGAGGAGGCTACCCCCCCCCCCCTGTCCCCTTCTGGCTGCCTCTGCCTCAATTTTATCCCACAACTTAGACATTCACATTACTCACACTCTCATTACACATACATATAGGATCTTGGGGGTGGGCACGATACACGGAGTCCAAAGTACCATCAGGGTGTACACCCCACCCCTGGCATCGTTGCCCACCTCTCAATTTTAAATACACGTAGACATTGAGGGCTAGCAGGAGGGACCATGCGCTTACCTGCTGCTCTCTGGCAGGTAGCTCCATGCCCTCCTGGGTTTTAAATGCACCTTAGAACACACATGCATCAACATTACAATGAGCGGGTGGAGGGAGGTTTGGAGTCTTCTCTCACCCCCATTCTCTGCGACCTGCTGGAGCGGGGGGGCTAGGACTAGGAGGAGGAGTTGGCCGTCCGACTGCGGTCTGGAGTGTGGAGCCTTCCTGCTGCTGCGGAGTCGGGGCGGTCTGCCTCCCCCCACCGCAGGGAAAAGGGAAACACCACCTGGGTCTGGGTGCAGTTCCCCCCTCCAGGGGCAAGGGTACCTAGACCCGGTTTGTAGAGTACGCTTGGGGAGTGTGATCGTGTGTACAACGTGTCTTTATGTCTGTCTCCACGTTGGTTGAGTGTGGAGTAAGTGCATATGAGAGCATGAGGGTGGGAATGGATGTTTGTGTCTGTGTGTGCCTGTATGTCTGTGTCTATATGTCAGGTTGGGTGTCAGGCGCCACCTCTCTGGGGACATCTCAGGCCCTCCAAGGTTTGGAGGCCTATCTCCCCCTACCACCACTTCCCCTGCCAGTGGCGGACCCCCTCAGACATCGGTGCGTTGGTGGTTCTTTGTGTCCGGGGATGGGCGTCCAGGTACACACCGGCTCACTCCTTGGCGGCCGCTTATCGGGGCCTGGAGCCTGGGGCTCGCTCGGGCCACTTCGGAGGTGGGGTGCCCCGGCCTCTCGGCCTGGGGCTCGGTCACTCAGGCGCAGCTGGCTGCCGGCGGAGCTCACGGGCGCGTCACTGCAACTCCCCCTGGCTTCTGCTCCGCGGCTGCTGAGTGAGCCCTCATCTGGGACTCTCCTCAGCTCTTTCCGGGACAGTGGCGCAGCTGCCCCTCTGTTGGTCTTCCTTGGTCTCTTGTGTTCTGGGGGCCTCTGGATGTCTGGAGTTTTGATCTCCTCCACACCTGCTTCACGCCCTGGAGGACGTGGCTGTGGCCCCCCCACACCCTCTAGCAGATTATTACATGAAGGAACCTTTTAAAAAACAAAAAACAAGCGCGTCCATGCTCACAGGTGTACACACGGGTGATCACACCCACAAACTACACCCTTTTTGGCTCCTACCTCAAAGCACACTGTGTTCTGTTGATCTTATGTGCTGCACAATAATGTTTAACATTTAGTATTTACTGTCATATTCCCATATATCATTGTGATGTTGTTTATTCTATTACTCTTGTTCTCTTCTGCTTGTTTTCTTTTTTCTTTCTCAGCAGGTGATCCAGGTGATCGATAGATGCATTTTTTTTCTCTGCCCGTTCTGTTGGTTTTTGTTTTTTGCCCTTCTCCCCCGTCCCTCTTCTCAGCTGTTTCTCTTTCCCTCTTTCTTTCTCCCCTTCTTTCCCCCAGTCAAGTCTGTCCCGTATTCAGTAAGTGAAAATAAAATAAACAATAAAAGGTGAATCAAATGGACCATTATGGCAAGGCTGGGATGGTCAGTTTGGTAAAGTAAATCCGTTGGGCATCTTTCTTTGCCTTTAGACAACAATTCTGATGCAAAAGAGCCAAACGGGACAGGCAAAAAAAAAAAAAAAAATTGTCTCTAACAGTCAGTGTTTTTATTCAGGTGCCAGATGCCATCAAGTCCCAGTACCAGAATCCTCCGCCCATGCTGCTTCCTGCAGGGGTGCGCCAGCTGGAGCTGGTTTGTAGTGGCATTCCTGACCATCAGCCCACAAAGCATTTCACCACAGAGGCTGAGCAGCAGGAGGTAGGCACAAGAGAAACCAGCAGCTGCCTAACATGTTCTTTAAGTCAGATTGTAATGATAGTTCCCTCGAAACAGGCTTTTGTGTGCTACAATCTGTGTCATCTGATGTAATAGGATGTGAGATTAATAGGAGAGCAGCGTAACCTCCTAAGACCCAAACTCTTTCATAGCATGCATTTTTAATTTCTCTTTGCTATTTGGGCTGATTGGGACCTGATGAATGTAAAACCAAAGAATTATCAGATTTTATTTTTTACCTGATGTTTGTTTCTGAGAAAAATGAGATCCACATATGAGGACATTCGATTTAAATTTCAATAGAACAGTGGCAGTATAACGTCCTCGCATGTGGAAATCAGGCCTTTGTAGAGCAACATTTAGTATTTTGGTCTAGCCAACCCAAAATGTGATGTTCACATATGTGGACACCAGGTCCTAGGAGGTTAAGGATGATTGATCGCTTTCCTTTTCATTTTGGATGATTGGATGAGAGTTTGGACAAGAAGTTTTTAGAGAGTCAGATTTTTGGTGTAGATGAGTGAAACACTGACACATCCTGTGTACTGTGTTTATCAGAAAGTAACAGAAAATTCAGTTTCAGAAGTTCTGAAAGCTGAACCAACTGCTTCACGGCACTTTGCAACAGTTGCATTAGAAAGTCTGTTTTTTTCACAGACTGTAGAGCTTTGAGTAATTAATTGAAAATTGCAGCAAAAGATAAATTCTGGTATCTGTTTGTTTGTGTGATATAAATGAATCCTTGATGAAGGGGAGGGCCTCTCAACAGAACTGCTGGTTGCTTCTTTATAAAAACATACATGTGTTGTGTTGAACAGTGGCTTCAGGATGTCATCGCTCTCCAGTGCAGTATCATGCGACACCTATCCATCAAACAGAAGGCCTCATATTTATTGTGTATTTGCAGAAAGCAAATACACAATCAAGTGGAACATCAGAGGACATGAAAACTCAGGCCTCATTAGAAAGGACTTCTTCCCCTGACCCCTGCTCTAAAGCTTGCAGTACACCCAGTGACTCCCAGGGGGCCTCTCTTTCCAAGGACAGCCCATCAGGGCTAGTTCTTTGCAAATGCACCGTGACACCATGTCAGAACTGTAGGAAACCTAATGGACCTCTGGAATTGGTTCAGCCTCCCAGAGCCAATGGACCTGTAGACTGTAACAGTGCCTCAGATTCCTGCAGGCAGGCTGAGCTACAGAACAGACTGAAGGCTGGGAGAACGGCATCAGCTTCTGCCCCTGGACTGGTGAACCACATAGGAACAGAAACGGTTAAGAAGGAACCTGAGAGCACTGTAAATGCATGTGCCCAACAGAACTGCCCCACTGCCCCCACGATATGGCCCCATATTGGCCAACAGAACCACAGGAGCCAGACAGAGCCCCAGGAGGAGTGTGTGAGCACCGATGAAAAGCCCTCCTCAATCACCAGCAGTTCCTTCACAGATGCACCATCTAGAGGCAGCCAGGAGCACGACACAGTAGTTTGCATCAGCACCTACTCCAGGTACACATCAGAAATGTCAAAGCTGCAGTCTTAATGTATCACTTTATACAGCTAATAATAATAATGATGATAATAATAGTAATAATATACTCAGGTAATCATTATGTTACTCTCTCCTCATTATACATGTAACGGGGGCCATGGTGTGCATGAGAGAACATTTAATTTGAGGCTATAGCAACATTATTTTGCGTATTTATATTAATATAAATACATTTTTAACTTTAAGAAATTGTGTTAATAGTCATGCTGTTAGGCTGAATTATTATTAGTATTAACATCTCCACTTTCATAACGTCTGTTTTGCATTAAAGCACAGAGAAGGCCTCAGAACTGAGAATGGTTATATGCTCACCTTTCTTCACTGCAGCCACTACATGCTTGTTTGAAGGCTTACACACATTCACTCGCACACTTTAACACACATGCATTCACACGCGTGCACACTGACCAACTCTGCTTCATCCAGGAGATGCAATACTGTCAGAACTCTTTTTTTTTCCCCTTATAATGTAAGAAAGAGCTCCAAGCAGATGGGAAGAAGGCCTTTTTATTTCATGCCTCAGTCTAGGATGCATAGCTTATTTTATTTGGCAGATCACTTAAAATTGTGATTCTGTTACTTCTACTTTTAATAATTTATCAGTTTTTGTCTTTAGGAAAATGTTTCTTCAAGAAAGTGGAAATGTGATTGTGATATGGGATGTAAATACAGTGAAAGAGTTGAGCTCTTTTGGCAGATACTGTGTATTGTTAAACTATCAAAACAAGCATTTTCTAAAGTGGAAACAAATGAAACGTTCATTTTAAAAGACCTGAGTTTTCTCTCTTGAATGTTTACTGTTGCTATTAATTGAATACTCACTGCTGACATAATCGATGGTGCTAACAGTTTTCTTACATATTTTGTGTCGTGCAGCCCCATTTACCAAAAGGATACATGGCCATTTAAGAGCACATTTTATTTTCAGTTACTGAGTTATGAAGAAAAAAAAGTTATTCAGATACAACTTGCTTTGCCTTCTATCTCAGTAATAGTTCCTGTGCACTTTTTTCCTTTATAGTGAACTATCAAAAACTGTCTTTTTTCTGGTCCTTCTTTTATCTCATCTCATCAGTTTGTCTCTTTTTTCCTCTCCTGTCCCTCAGACATAAAGGCTGCTCCTGCACTGACGGACTCACTGCTGCCCAACACACTGCCCTCCATCACCAACCTGTCCAGCTGCATGAAGGATGGAAAAGAGGAGGATGGGGGTGAGTTTGTCACTCTGCGGCCACATGTGACAGTTTAAGAGCCTTCGTATTGCTGTGTTCTGCTATGAAACACACGAAGATGTAATTAGCTTCTAGCGGTTGTGTGTGTTTGTGTTTTTGTGCACATTGATCGAGCTGGACAAACTGGATGCAGAGATGATCAAGCTCTTGGCCTATCAGAGGATCCAGCAGCTCTTTGCTCCCAAAGTGCCCAGCACTCAACCTCCCCCCACCACCAGCACTACCCCAAAAACCTCAGCACCCCACCCAAACAGTAAGACACCTTTGCACTACAGTTTAGTCTGTTTACTTGTCAAGAAGTCAGTTTTTCTGCTGTTTGATTGCTGTTTTGTTGTAATTATTAAAACCTACACTCTCCTCCTCCCAGGTCAGAAAAAGGTGCAAGCCAGAGCGGTCTTTTACCCTCTGACAGGAAGAGGAGCAGCTGTCAGCATGTGCTATAGGACGTTACACATAGGATCAGGTAGGACATTCAGTCGCTGTGACTTTGACCCTGCTGCATTCTGTGCCCTGGCTCTGAGCCACTCTTAGGTTTCACCTGTGATGGGGAAAGGTTCACGTAGGAGAACAGCATTAAAGCTGCTCTCACGTAGTTTTTTGAAATCATACCAGTTCACCAAACTCCAGTTAATCATGTTTGATTTAGGTTATATTCTTGCCTCGTGACTAAAGTTTAATAAGACCGAAGTAGAACATAGGTAGGGCCCCATCATACCTGCTGTGTGGTGCCTGGCAAATGTCACCGTACAGCAAAGTTGATGTTACATGTTGTAAGCTGTCATCTCTGCTGGTCATGCACTTCTGCATTTTTATAATCTGGTGTGTTGTTGCATTGCTGCTGCAGCTGGGTTAAAGTCTGTTTTTAATGGCATCCTAACATCATATCAGTACAGAAGTTTAGAGGTTCACAGGTTTCACAGAGGGAGATGTTGAAACTTTGAAACTTGGCAAAAACTTTAAAATTCCTCGGCTTCCAACTTTGACTTCTTCTCCTTCTATACCAGCGCTGATTTGGAGGACGGGCAACACCTATTGTTCAGAAGAATACTGCAGCACGTACATGCACCGTAACAGCTAGCATGAATGGATATAGCTGTGTGATGGTCTTACTGGTGACACACAAAGCTGCCAACACAGCAGGTGTACCACGGCCCCTGGTTTGGTGTCTTGGCTCTGAGCTAATCACTCTTACAGATATAAAACTGGGAAGTGATGCAGAAGCAGTGTGATGGTCACCCCATCATTCATTAGCTTGCAGAACCACCAGACAGATTTGCTGACGTGCTTGGAGTCATTGCACTGCCTGATCCTTGGTGACTGTTTTTGGACTTTAACTCCTGGGAATGTTTTGCAGTTGTCTTGCATGTTTTCCACTTGAATAGTGAATAATCTTTCTCATGGTAGAATTATGAGCGTGTTTGGGACTGGCTTCATGCAACTTCAGATACTGACATGCAGCACTCATTTATTCTTTAAGACATCTTTCCTCTTTGGCATTATGTCGACACACACCAGAATGCTTCTGAGTTTATAGAGGTGGTCACTCGTGCTGATAATCGGTTAATCAGTTGTGTTTGATCAGCAGTATGTACCTGCTACTTGTCATCTTTATTTCTATGGAAGCAACAAGGGTTTGCTTAGTGCTTCATACACTAATTCTGCATTTTGGCTTAGTTTTGTCAAATACATGACAGTGTAATGTCATATTTTATAGTTCATCTGAGGTTATATATCAAGACTTAATTTCAAGACCTGCTAAAAACAAGATGATTTTTATTTTGTCCCAATATGTAAACCTTGACAGAAGGTATCCTTTTAACCATGACTGTACTTCTGTACGACAGGCAGCAGTACACGACAGAGTATAATATAATAATGTACTGAGCCTGTACTAGCTCACAATCTCTGCATCATTAGTCAGGTTGAGTGATAGTTGATACCGTCATCTTTAAATCGGAGTATTTTAAGCAAGTTGTCTGTGAAAGTAAGTTCTTAGACCTGTGAGGGTCACAACAGGACCATGTGGAATAAAAACTACTGAACAAAAACACAATATGTCACATTGGAGTGCAGGTCATTAAAATACATTTTGACACGTCAATATTGCAGAAAAAAAATCCATGTTGCAAATCTGTATTCTTTGTGTTGTGGGAAAGGGTGTTTAAGTCTTTAACTGTTTCTTTAAGGTGCTGACATGGATGTGTGCCTTACAAACTACGGTCACTGCAACTACGTATCGGGGAAACATGCCTGTATTTTCTATGACGAGGTGAGGCTGTTAAACTACATCACTCTGCAGAGCACTCCTGTGGTTGTTAGTGACCAAGATGTAAATGACCAAGATGTGTGTTTGTCGTCCTTCAGAATACCAAGCATTATGAGCTTCTGAACTATAGCGAGCATGGCACCACAGTGGATAATGTCCTGTACTCGTGCGATTTCTCTGAGAAGACCTCACCATGTCCACCCGGTGGCCTGGTAGCCAAAGTCCAAGGAATCATTCGTAAGTACATCTCCGTCATCTGTTTGGATTGGCTTGAAGGAACCCAGGTCTGTGTGCCCAGTTTGACTGCTGATGAGGTCGTCACTCATAGATTTTGTATGAACCTTTTATGAATATCCATCCATCTTCTTCCACTTAGCCACTCATCTGTATGTGTTCTGGTTAAAATAGTTAAAATTTTAATTGTGAAGAAATCATAACAACATTGCTTCTGTAAATTAAAGGAATACTTTAATTTATACTCTAATACTGAAAAGAATCAGTTTTAGTTTGGCTAGAATTTCAGGAAGTGTACCCCCCCCCCCATGTGCTTAATGTCAGTGTCCTGTTTGTTACGCTGACACTGCTCCTGCATTTTTGGTCAGCTTTTAGTGTTCTTCATCCAAATTGTGGTCAAGGTCACATTTGTCATTCTTAATGGGTACATGTAATTAGTTTGAGTAGAGAACCAGTTCTCCATCTGTTGTAGGTTCTGGTTAGAGTGCCAGCTTGAAGTGCAGGAAAAAAACAAACCATGAGTTTGGTGTTGGAGTTCATCTCCATCCATAATGGCGATCTAGCCAGCGAGCCTGCTGGTAGAGAAAACACCAAATGGGAAAGAACGGGCTGGCTTATTATTAGCTATTGCAATTGCAAAGTAAAAGTAAGGATGTAGTAAACGTACAGTACAGTGGTAAACTTGGTGCATGTGGCATTGTAGCAATGAGAAAGGTAAATAAAGTGTAAAATGAGCAGTCAGATATACTTGTTCTGTGGCAGACCACGTTATGTAAAGTCTGAATGTTGCTGTATCACATAAAGCTTCCAGTCTTAATCTGTTATTAAAGATCATTTGGACAGATGTTTGATTAGTAAAGAGCTGCAGTGTGAAACAGCATTAAATCAGATTTCTCTGAAACTGTTTATAGATGATGAGTGTAAAACATGTTTGCCAGAGTTCAGCTTTCCACATGATTTTAGTCTCATTTTCAAAACAAAGTGTTCATTTTTATTTTGTGGATAAAATGTAATCAGTGAAATCTTTTCATGGTTGCATTGTCTCCACATTAATGGAGTTTACTGTGACACTAGTCTGTACAGACGTCTTTCTCAGACCTGCTGCATTTCTTCTTTGCGTAGGTCGCAGTAAGAAACGGGAAGAGAACGAGGGAGCCAACTCCATGGTGGGGTTGTTGCCAGTAGGAGGAGTGATGAGTAGCCAACGTCAGGGTGGTGCTGAGCCGTCTTGTAGCTGCAAAGCGAGTAGCTCCAGCCTAATTGGAGGCAGCGGGGCGGGCTGGGAGGGCACGGCCCTGCTCCACCATGGCAGCTACATCAAACTGGGCTGCCTCCAATTTGTCTTTAGCATCACTGAGTTTGCCAGTAAGCAGCCCAAAGAGGAGCAGGCCACTACACCTGCTGCCAGTTGCACAAGCACCACCACCAGCAGCAGCAGTGTCATCAGCACCACCCTCAGCACCACCGCTAACACCTCCACACCACCACCACCCAGCACTGCCACAACAAGCGGCTTTTCCAACCAGGATGAGGCTGACTCTGAGACTGTACCTCCCCACCAAGTGCCCGTACTGCGTTCTAACTCTGTTCCATAATCCGCACAGGAAGCCCCGCCCTCCCTCTTATTTTGCACCTTCTGTGTCATGATGAAGGGAAAGCTGCACAGCTGGTTGGTCAACAGGGAAAAGTTCTTCTTTTTTTTTTTTTTTTTTTAAATGGTTTATATCTTTGCATGAACTTGAAGTATTATTGACAATCTCTTTTTTTCTTTTTTCTTTTAAATGACTGACGTAACCGTTAGGACCGTTAGGACTTTGAGCAAACATTACTTCCTTGGGCTCAATCTTTGTTTTTGCCAGTATATTAGTTATGTATGGTGTAACCTTTTTGTCAGTCAGCCCATTTAGCACAAACATTTTTTTTTCTTTGTAGTATTCAATTCCATACATTCTAATTTCTTTTGCTGCTTTTGCACCACAGGTAGCTATATATGTATGAAAACATACATGCTTATACACTATAACATGTATATATAATGTAAATACATTTTAATTCAGTGCCTCTCGATTGGAGAAACATTGGATTTCATGTAGATTTGCCATTTTTTGGTTTTTAACTGTACAGCTCATTGAATTTGTGATACTGTGTAGAGTACCAGACGTTTTGTGATAAAACTTGTTCTTAGTCTGTACTTTCCGCTGTAGTCCATCTGTAAATACCGTATAGTTTTAGCACTCATTTTAACATCTTGTGCTGCTGTGTATATAAGCACTCTGTCTGTACCTGCTTGTCTGTTCAAACCTGTAAATACAGAAAGATTTTCTAAGAACAAACTCAGTGTTTATGCCTGTTATTTTCAGCCTTGTTTTAGGTCCACTTTGAGCTCTAGTTTGGTTTTCACTTTCTGAGACAGCAAGTTCAGTACTGACAGGGGTGGATCTACAGGGGTGGCATTGGGTGGGCATGTGCCACCCTAAAATAATCTTTGCCACACCCTAGTTGTTTGCATATGACATGTTGTTTATTAAAATAAGTTAGCATTAACACTTTGAGCCTAGCTGCAATTAACGTTGAATATAAATTCTAAAAAATGAATATATTGCATAGCGTTATCCTCCCTCCCCTATTAGAAAATGGTTCAGCCCTGCTTTATTTCTTGTTGTCGGTAGCAACCAATGCCTATGATTGGGCAGAGCACATTTGGAATCAAGAGTTTATCAATGAGGTCGACGCGGACCTGGTCATCATACTGTTCATTCAGAATGCTGGTGGGCTCGGCTTGTTTTAGGACAAAAAAAAAAAAAGTAAAAATGGACAAAGTGATGACGTGCTCCGTGAAAAGCAGACCGTGGGTTGGAACAGAAATAAACAGAGATGTGTTTTGTTTTAATTTCTGTACCTCATGGTTGTTTAATTCAAAAATACAGGAAGCAGCAACAGATGCAAATACAGTTATTAAGGTGTCACACATTAGGGCTTTCACAAAGTTGGTGCATTAACTGTTTAGAAATGACAGCTTTAAAAAACATTGTTGTCTCTAGCATGATTATATCTTTGATATGATTTACTTTTAAACTCAAATGTTGCACGTTCTTCACAAACAACTACGCTTTAGTTACACCACTTGACACAACATTTTACTATTTATGTAATCTGGAGTATCTGGGTGCTTCACACTATCAGCTACATTGCTTTATTAGTCCACCTGACAACTTACACCAGTTTAGTCTAGCCCATTGTTAATTATACACCGGCTACCGAACTACACACCTGAATGCAGCCAGGCTGATTTCATTCTGGCTACATTCCTGTTTCCTATCCTGTTTCCTCAGTTGTCGCCAAATCGTTGCACTGGACTCATTACTCAACCTTGGCTCCCTCGCTTGCATACTCACTTTGCTTAAATTCACCTTGGTGTCCTTTTGCCAAAGCTGCTGCTGCAGAGCTGAAGAGCTGTGGAGAGAGGGCTTGAGTGGAGCGACGTGGAAAGCAGCAAGCTGCATGGTGTTACACTCAGTGTTGGGGAGTAACGGAATACATGTACCAATGCTACGTATTTAAAATACAAAATATGAGTAACTGTATTCCGTTACAGTTACCGTTTAAAAAGGTGGTATTCAGAATACAGTTACTTTGTTGAAATAAAGGGATTACACGGCGGCCTTTTCCTTTTGCCCTCTCTATTTTTGGTAATTCCACGCTGGTGGAAACACAAACAAAACACGCATTAAGAGGCTCTTATGCCTGTGTCTCAATCTCGTGGCCCATGTCACCTCTAATGACATGAAGAAATATTTTTAAAAATTATTATGCAAAAAATTATTTAATATGAAGGCAATAGGCAGAGTGTTACAGGCATCGCCCTAAAGAATGTAGCCTCGTGGGCAGTGTAGTCCGTGCTGCAGGGAGAATGGACTGCCATACCTGTTATGTGTCTGTGAGCGAGGGAGGGAGAAAAAGGAGAGTGGAAAAGTATGAGCTGTCACTGAGCAGAAACGGGAGCTGGAAGCATGTAAATATAATAATAACCACTGCAGCCGAAAAGAGTGCCTGACGAGCCCAGTTGTAAGTAAGCTATTAAGACTCGACTGTACGCTGTGTTCGTGTTTTCCTCTGAAACAATAAGTTTTGTTGGAGCAGCCTTTCAACGCCTCTCTCTGTCTCTCGCTAGCAAAGTCGACCCAGACAACACAGTAAAGCTAGTTTTCGGCTATGAGCCCGACACGAACCCGACGTATTAGCCAGAGGTCCCTTTACTACGGCCGCTGACCTGTTTTATATAAGCACGGAATAATTTTCTATATGAGATCGCTGCAAAAATGGTGAGTACCTTCAGTAATAGTAATAAATCACACAGCAATAGTACATTCATGTAGTTGTAAAAAGCATGATAATATCTCAAGTAATCCAAAGTATTCAGAATAGGTTACTCTCACTGAGTAACGTAACGGAATACGTTACAAAATACATTTTAGGGCATGTATTCTGCAATCTGTAGTGGAATGCATTTGAAAAGTAACCTTCCCAATGATGTTGCCTCTCTCCTGACACTTTTCATGTTCCTTGTTTGCCTTTGACAGGAACTGCTGCCAAGCCTTCCCGTTTCCCCAGGTCAAGACTGTTTTTACAAGTTCTGTCATATCTGGGATAATTGTAATGGTTAAGTCAGTCACCTAATCTCAGAGTGTGCTTTTCAGTTTCTGAAGTCAGCAGGACCCACAAATAAGCACGATGAACAACTGAAGGTGGCTGCAGTAAATGCCTAGCAGAGCAAGGGAGGGAGTCCAGCATTTGGTGATGTCCATGGCTTCTTCAGACAGTCATTGATATTAAGGATTTTCATCCAAGTATTAGAAAATATTAGAAAACCAGCATCTTTGTATAAAAAGTGCTGTACTTCCTAACCATTAAATTAAATTAAAGCTGAAAGTCTGCCTTGAATCACATGTTGATTGTTTTATTTGAAATATATTGTGGTGGTGTAAAGAGAAAAAGGTTTTGAAAAGTGTCTTGTCCAACAAATTATAGACTTATGTATACTTCATGCTATACACATGTCTTATGTTAACAATTAGACATTTAAAATTCTGATTTGCTTTGCTGATTTTGAAACATTTAGCTTGTTATATGCAATGCTGTGCAAGTCTTGAACCATTGGTCATTTAATTATATTTTGCTTGCAGGGAGCCAGACCTTCATGTAGTTTTTAAACATGATCTTGAGCAGCAGTTCTCCAAAGCTTCCAAAGTTCTTTCATAGTTTTTCTTTGGACATTAGCTGCATTTTCACTCATTTTCAAATGTTGGTTTGATCAACTGCTGAAAACCTCTGTTTGAGGTTACCTGTCAAGAAGCTCTTCTTAAGGAAGGCAGGTGGGACGAAAAGCCTGAGGAGCCAAGTTACACAAGAAGTGGACTGAAAATCAGTGGCATATAGAGGGATGAATCGGACTTAGAATTGGTCCAGACTGCCATCAGTATGTGCAAATGAGGTCAGGACAGAGGCAACAGTGAGTGTTTATGATTATCTCTAAAACACAGGGGATGCTGTTTCACAGATGGGAGCTGGATTTTAGCCAGTGCTCTTGGGAATCTTGTCAACACTGATGACATTTTAAACACAAAAATACTGTCAAATTTTGATCCACCATGCAGTCCCATCAGGGAAGCATCTGATTGGCAACAGCTTCATTTTTCTGTATAGCAGTGATCCCAAACACACTGCCAATGAAGTAAAAACCCACCTGGATAGAAAAATACACACTAGGAGCCTATGAGTGATGGACTGGCCTCCCCAACCTAGATGTCGACATTATTGAAGCCGTGTGGGATCATCTTAACAGAGAATAGAATAAAAGGCAGCCAACATAAAAAGAGCATCTTTGAATGTTCTTCAAGAAGACTAGAGATCCAGAATACCCTGTTATATTTATTAACATCATTAAACACTAGTGACCTGGTTCCACTAGAAGGAAGCAGGAATTCCAAAATAGGTGTGCTTAAGAGAGTTTGGGCGGGTTTGAAGAATAAAGAAAATGCCAAATGTCAACTTTCAAGCTTGTTAAAATGGTGCAAACTCTGTTTTTGCCTTATATACTGTAGTTCCTATCCAATATTATCCATGCACTATGGAAGGTGTAATCGGGATTAGCTAATGTTGAGCTAACAAAGTAAGTGAGATTAAACTGAAAGACAGAACTGGCTGACCTCAGTGAGAAAGGTGTTACCTTATATTACAAGGGTGGAAATGATAGGCATACTGTACATAACTGCAAAACTGAGGGCAAAGAGAGGGAGCCTTTCAGGTCTGGCATTAGACTAAACTTGGGTGTAATATTTCTTTATAACCAGCATAAGCTAATTATTGGATGATTTTCTGCTAAAACCATATTCATACGTGCAAGTTTGTTTTCCAAATGAGACATCAACACCAAATGCGTGGATGATGTTTTCAGTATGGAGGTAGAAACAGTAACATGGCTCGTGTGTCATTAGTTAAAACAGAGTTTATTCAAAATGCTGAGCAAATTTTAGGGTAAAATATACATAAACACAGAAAGAATCCCAATGTTGTACTTGCTGCATTTTTACATGCCACAGTTTAGCATATGTTGCTCATTGTGCATTCACTCTTGTGACTCTCGTCCTAGACACAATGTAGCATCTCAAAAGGGTTTCGTTCTCAAAACACGAGGTACACTACAAACAGCAAAGTCTACCATCACCTTTTATTCGACATAATGAATGAGTCAATTGAATCACTGACCAACATAAATACTCATCTTGGTTTACACACACAGATACACAAAGATAGAGTGAGAGGAAACCATTCAGCATGAGTTGTTGTGATGTAATTACTTTTCATTTGATGTGAAAAATTATTCAAAGTCAATGAGATGGAAAGTGTTCTGCAGTCTATCACAGGAACTGGCATTGTTTACTTCCCCTCCAGCTCATCATTTGCTCTATCTCGCAGTCACAATTATTCTCTCTGTCTTACTGTCACACACATTCCACTACAGTGTATCACATGCCTCATTTAACTAGACACCATGTGCGCATGCATGTGTGCAAACCCTTATGTTTCTGCTGCTGTATTGTGTTTTTTGTCTATTTGTTTTCATTGGGATGTCACTTGGTGTTGGGATGCATCTGTTAGAAGATAAATCTCCCTCATGCTGAGCTGTACTAACAAATATCATTGTATTGTACATTCTTTTAAATCCTATTTAAACCTGGAATGAGGTTTTGATATGTGTTTGTGTGTGTGTGGACATCTTATTTGGATCAAGACAACTGTATGAAAATACATTTTACTGTAAACGCAGCATTGT